AGTGTAAATGCTTTTAATAGCTTTGATCAAAGTCTGATCTTCATTCAGAGCAATCACCAGTTTAAAATTTTTCTCATCATTTCGGGTACTTTTGGAGAGCAATATGGTCATCATTTTTTTGAATTATCTCAAATCGAATGTATTTATGTGTTCTGCCATGATTGTGAAAAACACAGTTTATGGGCAAAACAAGTTCACAAGGTGCGCGGTGTGTTCAAAGACACAACACAACTTTTTTTAAGGCTGTATCAAGATGTGAAGAATTTTGGAAATCGATGGTCATTATTCGATGACAGTTCATTGTTAAAAGCATCGTCCAATGATGGTTTATGGTACCAATTATTGATTATGATTTTCGTTGAACAGTCTCAAACATCGGAGCCCAAGCAAGAAATGTTAGATGAATGTCGTTCATATTATCGAAACAATAAATACATGCTTGAAAAAATTAATAAATTTGAAAAAACATATACTTCTGAAAACGCTATTCACTCTTATACTCAAGATAATTTTATCTATCGCATCGTCAATTGTGCATTAAGAACTAACAATATTGATATTATCTTGAAATTTCGAACATATATACGTGATTTATATCGGGAACTTATAAATCAGAATAAGAGTCGTGTTTCAAATGCCTACAACAATAAAACTGAATTGTCTATTGGTGTTGTTTATCGTGGTCAATATATGAAGGAACAGCAACTAGAACAACTGATAGGCTATTGCAAATCACGAAACGCATATATAACTTTGAACACATTTGGTTCGACCACACGCAATCCAAAAACTGCTTTGAAATTCATTTCATCTGATCATCCTGGCGAAGTTCCTTGTCTTTACCAAATTTTTATTCCAGACAATGCTTATATTAAAAACTTCTCTTCGTATATGTTCTTCAATTTATTTCTTGATATCAAAGATTTCTCAGACAAATCAGATGAAGAAGAAGTTCTATTTTGTGTTGGCTGTCATTTTCATGTGAAGTACATCGGAAAAAGGACTTCAAAGCGTTCTTGGGTACCAATTGTGCTAGAACTGGATTCCGATAAGCGTGAATTCATTAAAAATTGGAAAATGTTGCGTAGACGAATTCCTGATGAAAATGATGAGATGAAACACGAATTACTTCAGCTCGTACGGAACTACGCAAGAAAGAAAGATGAGATAAATTAGGGAAAATGGTGGCAGCAACTGGATCGAGAAACGGGATGTCGAAAGCAGTTTGATGAACCTTTAGTGGTAACCATGTATGAATGCTTTGATGATCCAGAATCAATCACCAAAGCCATTGATTTACGTAAACGATGTTTCATAAGCCATGATCCTTCCATGGTTCACTCGAATAAGAATTTAAACTTTTTCCTGAAATATATGGAATCAGGAAAAAAGCCAACGCGAATCATAGCATTATACAAACTGTTCTTGGAGTATTTGAATGGAAAGCACGCATCGAACTCACTTGGCATCTTAGAATTAGTACAAATTTTTCAATATGTTGGTGATGCTTATGCAAAATTTCACTTTTATCAAGAAAACGCTCTGCGTTGTTATCTAGTGGCCTTGGAATTGATAAATCGCAATTCAGACGAGGAAGCAGCGCAATATTTACGAGACAAAATAATTAAATTGACGTCTAAGGAATTCATAAATAAAACAAGGCAACAAACAAAAATAGGAGAAAAGAAACCATTATCGACCGTGTATTCTGCCCATAGATATGGAACACAACAGTTCAATATGATTGATTATGAGATTGATCATGAACAGTGGCGTAGTTTCAGAGAATTTCGGAAAATGGCACGTGGCATGGATTTGAAAAGTAAGGCAGAATTACGCCTCTTACGTCTGCTTCTTTACGTAGTACAGCAAGAAAAATGGATTGACAATTACTATTTAAGAATTTTCTTTAATATTCCATCACATGAACACCATAATATGAATTCGCTCTCAAATTTACATCTCTTGCTGTTGCTAGCTGTTTGGAGTCAAGGAAATGAACTAGATTGCTATGAAATTAATCAATGGCAGTATGAAATGTTCATGATGAAATGGCTTTCATTAAATGATCTGAGGAGAACATTGAAGGATATCAAATATACACGATCTTGTAAAGATGCTTCGCTATCATCGACTCTAGATCGGCTCATCGAAAAATTGAAATTAATCATTATCTGGTTAATTTTCAGGATCAGTATATCACGGAAGATTGGTACAAATGATCCTGTTATCAATATCAATAGAATTAACTTTATAAAACCCACATATGCTAATGTACAAAAATTAGTATTCTTTGATGATCAAGATGAGATGACGAAAGACACTGTACGTTTAGAACTCGAAATAATGGCAAAAGAAAATTGCACATAGACATATGTTGTAATAGAACTTGTTCTAAATAAAGTCTTTTGCGTTACGAATTAATCAGTTTCTACAGAGGAATATTTTGAATAAATCAATTAATTGAACGATTCAGTTTTTACTTCGCCTCAGTCATCAGATTATCTCATATTTCATACATAATATGGATAGAGTGAACAGAATGCAACTTGAATGGTAATTCTTCAATATCATTGGTTACTTCTGTTGTCTGTACGATACAGATACTATCGCCTTTCGAATTACAGCCAAAAAGGTTTCTTTATAAATTTAATTTCATCTATGATGAAATTGTATGAGGATATGAATGTAAGAAGACTGACAAATGCAGAACTATCCCTATAATGTTACTGTATATTATATCAACCAGATATTGAATTAGTTTTTAGAAGATCTTAGGTATGAATTTGGGTGTGGGGTGGGGTGGGGTGTGGTGTGTGTGGGTGTGGGTGGGTGGGTGTGGGTGTGTGTGACTAAAGAAGAGTAGACGTCACACCCACACCCATACCCCCCACTCCCCCCCCCCCCCCCCCCCCCCCCCTTACAAACACCAAGGTCATTCTGTGCCCCCCGCTGAGTGTGCAGCGATCAAGCCCGCTTACGAAGACCTGTGCCGCGATGATTCTCTTCGTCAAGTTCTCCGAGGTGAAACTACCAATGCCAAAGAAAGTTCCCATCGAATTGTCTGGTTCATGTGCAGCAAGAAGAAGTACCACACTCGGAAGCGAATCATCAATGCAACTAACTTAGCTGTAATCATCTACAACAACGGATGCGTCGGTCTAATTCCGATTTATCAGTCGTTCGGTATCACAGTCAGCGTTGTAATACTCGGCATGCTTAAACAAATCGATCGGGAGCGCATCAATGAAGACAAATCGTTCGATCCTGTGCTTCGACTCGAACAACGCCGAAGAAACCGCTTCGAACGGCTTCGAAGTGATGCTCAGCTCACTCTAGAAGATCCTCACAAATACGGTGCTGGAATCACTGATTAGAATCTCGATCGAGTGGTGGTGGTGGTGCTTTGCATACTTTTGATTCTGTGGTTTGTATATATTCATTTTTGGTTCTTTTCCTTCATCTGTTTCTTTGCTTGTCGCCTGTCGTTTCCGTTTGGATGCCATAACAATTTTCGTTTGATTCGTTTCAGATGAGAAAAAAAGATTGATGCAGATCTTCCTTGAAACGGTTAAGTCATCAACTCCTGAACACGACCAGTGCATTGACAAAATGGTAGATTTCGCCCGAGTACACTGTGTGACTCTCTCAATATGCCCATTGGATTTGCCGTGAAAAGTTTCCCCTAAAAAGCTGGTTTGATCAACGTTCATCTTCGCTAGTTTCAGAAATAGATAGTGAAAAAGTATTTTGCGTTTTTCTCGAAAACCGGCTTTTCACGAGAGAGTCATTTTGTGACAAAGGTCTTGGTATGAAGAACTGGTCCGATCGATCTGAAATTTTCACAAGAGGTGGTCATGACGCTTCCCCAGGAGTCTTTTTTTTGTCTTCAATTTCGACCTTTCAGTCGAAAGTTAGAAGGATTTTCGTGTAAACAAACGAGATCTCTGGAAAGCTTTTTCGTATTTCCACGATAAAAATTGAAGGATGACAGATTTTTTGAAACAAAAAAAAGACTCCTGGGGAAGCGTCGTGACCGCCTCTGGTAAAAATTTCAACTCGATCGGACCAATTCTTCATACCAAAACCCTTATCACAATGAGAAGGACTGAAATCTGTTTTGGTCAAAAAAAGGATGAAGGAGTCGGCAGAAAAAAAGCTCGCTCGGACACGTGTCGCCTAATTTTTCATGCTCTATCTATAATGAAAATTCGAGCCCAATCTGACTTGCCGTTTTCGAGATCTGGAAAAGCTAAAAAAGAGGGGAGGGGTACCCTTAAGGACCTATGGGTACTCCTATAGGATAGCCCATGAGGGTCTATGGGTATCCATAGGGTAGAACTTGAGAAATTATGGATAACTTAATATAATAACCCTTGGAATTCTGCGCTTAGCCCCGTTTGACCTTTGACCTCGAATCTGATTGGTCGAAAAAATTGACCAAAAGGAGAGGGACCAGACGTGACACTCGACATTATGTATATAGATTTATATAGGTGAGTCTTAATCCGTTGCCAAACAACCATTCAAACTGTCCTTATTTCGAGGATCTCTCATCGTTAGTACCAATGTTGATTCAGATGACCAAACTGCAGAACTTATCGATGTTTAATATCAAGTTTTTATACTAACCCGCTATAAGTTAATTATGAATCTGTTCAATAAATATCACATAATTGATATCAAAGGGCACTAATGTCAAAAAGTAATGTGCTTCGAAAATGTGTGCGCAACATTTGTCGGAAACCCGAAATAGCACATTTAGATAGAAATCAAAACTGAGATCGTCTGAAAAAAATCATTTAATAAAATTCATTGCACGATATCTATAGTTAAAGTGCATCATTAACTTTAAAAAAGCATAAGACATTGGTTCGTAACACTTTACCAATAAGGAGAAAGCAAAAACCATGATAAGAAAGAGAGAAAAACAAAATAACAATTTTCAAACAAATAGTATCATTATCATCGTGGTCGTCGTCATCTAAGTAAAAAAGAGAATGAGCCATCATCTGTTTACCGGTGAAGAACATGCAGCAAAGTATCGTCTTTATAGACCTAGCTATCCAAAACAATTATTTGAACATATTATCAATTATTATTTTGATAGTAAAATTACAAATGAAAAAATTCCACTTGCACTCGATGTGGCATGTGGAAGTGGTCAAGCTACAGTAGATATCAGTCGGTAAATATTTTATTTTTGAATAAATAAAAATTTAAAAAAAATTTCTTAATAGATTTTGTGAACGAGTTATTGGTATTGATGTTAGTGCGAATCAAATTGCTCATGCAATTCAAAACGATAATATTGAATATCGGTGTAATGTAGGTGAAGATTTATCATTTCTTCAATCAAATTCAATTGATTTAATTACAATTGCATCAGCATTCCATTGGCTTGATACACAAAGATTTATTGAAGAGGTTAAGCGTGTACTTAAGCCGCACACAGGTGTATTAGCTATATGGACTTGTGGATTACTTACATTAGATAATCCAATAGCTGATGCGATTATTCATGAATTTCATCATGTTTTATTACGCCCATATTGGAATGAAAAACAACCGTTAGTTTTTGATCATTATCAATCAATTATACCACTTTTTCCATATCAATCAACATTACGTTATTATACAATTGAACGTCAAATTGAGACAACACTTGGAGGTTTAATTGGTCTTACTGAAACAGCATCAATTTGTCAAACATATAGAAAACAAAATGGTGAACAAGCATATCAGGATATATTAAATACATTACGTCAAAAATTAAGTCAATGTTATATCAAAACAGAAGATAGAGATAATAATGATGAACCTGTAAATGTTGATTCTATTAAAATAACTGCATCAGGTTCCGCTCATCTTTATTTAATGAAAAAAAATGAGATTTAATTTTAATAAATAAGAAATCATATTATATATTATCACATGTTTGTATACAATTCCCGAATAGACTTTTGTTTCTGTACCTGTTAACGGAGAAGTTTAATCCTTTGGGTCCGGGCGACGAACATGTTCGTCCTGGGATTTTGCGCACTGAATATCTTTGAAAAACATGGTGTTTTAGTTATTTAATGATATAAATTGCATCAATATTTTTATTTAGGATATTTATGCGATGAAGATTATCTATAATTACTGATCATTATGGATGGTTTCTTAATAGTTCAGGTAATCAGCATATTATTTGATGAATTCACACATGGATCAAGTTTGTAACATTTCTCGAGAAAGAACCGTCACTCTCAAAGAGATATCTTGTGCTACAAATATCGTTCAAGCATTAAAAGTGTACAATGACGTCATGATTTCTCTCTTTTGTTTTCTGTCATATGTTCTTTCGAGAATGTTCCAGTATACTTTATCCTCTCTGTAAATGGTATACACATATACATATATATATATAGCTTCTTTTTTTTATTATGATTCAAACGAAAACGTGATTTATCTCGATATATCTCATATTTCTTGGACATTTATTATTTACGAAGTGAGGTTGTGCTCAACCAAAAAAATAACAACTAAATTATTGAAGACATAATGGATCCAGAATCTAGCACTGAGCCTGAAGACTATTCATATGACGAAAGTTATGATGAAGATGAAAATAACAGTGATTTGGAAGAGGAATTCACACATGCGTTTGGAAGAATATCTACTACACCGAGAAACTGGAGAAGAGGAGGTTTCAAACCTCTTCTATTTAGTTTTGATTCGAGTGGTTGTGGATTATCTTCAACCATAATAAATCTTACTCTTGAAATACAACTTGATTTCTTTCAACTATCTTTCGGTTCCAAACTACTTGAAATGAGGGTGTGGGTGTGGGGTGTGGGGTGTGGGTGTGGGTGTGGGTGTGGGTGTGAGGATGTGGGTGGGTGTGCGTGTGGGTCAGGGTTGCCATGTCTGGGGTACAACTCATCGAAGGTAGCGTCACTTGCAATGTAATATACCCCAGATATGGCAGCCCTGGTGTGGGTGTGGATATTCACCTCACCTACAGACATCCATGCCCACACCCCACTCCACACTCACACCCACACCCGCACCCACCCCTAAATGATCATTCTTATGAGAGAACTTTCGGAAAGTCTCAATTAGATAACGAATAGAATTCTAAAAATATCACATTTGGATCGTTTTGATTTGTTCATCATTTTCAAAATTTATGCATAATTCAAATCAACTGAGCTTCTATTTTTTTCTCAGAGAAGTTCGTCTTGAGTACCGTTAAGGGAATGAACTTTATATTCATCGGCTGAGCATCATACAAATGGGAATAAAAATCGATGTGAAAAATGACTTTCACCGAAAAGAATCAACAAAAACATGTACAATGAACGAGCGATTCTCTAATGAGAAAATCATCGAGTTAGCCATGAAAAGATTTTCCGACACCAATTTTTGATTCCTAAGTTTGTGAGTATTCATAAAAAGAGTACGTATATCAAACTCCAGTTCTATTTACCATCAATTTTTTTTGGAAATATCATTTGCTTTCTATTACTCTGTTTATCCACTGATGTTTAGGAGAAGATCATTGAGATATGTTTCTGTATTTATACAGAAAATGCTTTATATCAAGAATGTTTCTTTTTTCTGCATTAAATAAAGGTACAGAACATATTAAAAGAGATTTTCCCCATTTCTCCCATGACGTCAGAAGAAAGAAAGAATAAGATAAATTATTTGGATGACAAATTACTGATATGTCATCAGACACTGAGAATACGAGGAATCTTTTTATAAATGAAATACATATCAATGAGATTTATTTACTCTTATGATTCATGCTATTATTTTTGACCCACAGAGACGAAATTATTATTCATTCAGTATAGATTGTCTCATCATGTACTTTATCAATTAGCCTTATATCATATGGGAACTGGGTAAAATGTCTTTGTGCATAGATAATATTTTGTGTCTGTGAAAAATTTTCTATATAAATGCACAAAGAATGTTTCGATAGCTACATTCTTCGTTTCCTTACTGTTATAAACTACTTCAAATAACTAACTAAATTAAGGTAGGATACAAGTGATAATGTTCTTTTTTCTTATAACCTATTCCAATAGTTTTCATTGAAGAAAAGGTGATAAGACATTGAAATATATACTGGACTTCTTGGAATAAACATAGAAATAATTTTCAGTCATCATGTTCTTCTGACAGCAATCCTAAAGGAGTTCTTCTGAGACAAACTCTGTTGTTTGATACAATACACTCATGAAAATAAAATTCATGAATGCATTTTTCTCTTTTTCTGAACATGATTTGAACTACGTACGTAAGTTATTAGTCTGGGGAAAAATACTGAGATTATGTATTAAATACCATGCATAAAATTTCATCAAAAAAAATGAGATCCGCAGTTTTTATCACAAGCGATAAGTAGTTTGCATTGTTCAACAGTGTAGTTAAACAAACGTTTCTGTTATTTTCAATATATAGAATAATCTCAAACAGTTTTATTTGATCAGTACATTACGGAAAGTATGCTAGGTTAATAAATGTTTTAGGCTATCATATCCTTTTAGTAGAGTTTTAGCAGCGTATGCGTTGTATCACTTGTTATCTTAGTATAATAAATGCTTTGAAACAAAATAATAAAAAAAGATCAATTACAATAGTCAATTGAAGTTAGCATCACTATTACACACATTTCTCATTTATTGAATTATTGTTTTGAAATAATTGTCGAAACCGGCTTGGAATAGCAACATTCCACTATATCTTGATTTGATAAAGTATTCACGATGTGAGAGTCCACTATTGACGATATACTCGTTCTAGGAAGTTCTTTTCACAAATATCCATTGTGACAAAAGTAGATTCATGATTAGTTTTACTATTCGATGTGATTTTTATTTAAAATAGAAATGAAATCGCTATACTTCGACACGTTTGTTTTCTTAATTAAGACTCTTATCAAATATGAAGATTACTCTGCATCAGGTGTCAGTCAAAATCATTCTTAATTCTACGTTTATACTTTTTAAAGAAGTGTAGAGGTAGAAGTGCGTTTCCAAATTACAAGTACATAGGTATGTAGAATTAGGTAACAATAACTACATGAATAAGTATAATTACGTATTTTGAAATACAATTAATACATTATTACTTGTTGTATTTGTACTTGCCCAAACTGTACTATGTAGATATTTCTAAAATACGAATTACAAGAGAACATATGGTCTGACATCGAATATTCAGTTTTTTTAATCAAACCATTGAATCATGCGTTAAGTGCATCGTAGTTTAACGTCAGTTTATTGCATACCAGATTCACAACCGATAAAACTGCATTCTTTCCTTTATCTGACATAAAAAGGGCGAAATTTATGGCATCTATATTCTTGTCTTAGAAGAAAAAGCGATCGCGGGTTGGAACTGTACATTACGTTTTATGAATAGATAGACATTTATATGCATTAAGTGTTATTTCGTGGCGTTGACATATATTTGCAAAGAAAGTCATGAACTGAAGTATCAGTCGAAGTTTAGACAACTTCTACTCTCTGTTTTGTCCCTAAAAAGCAGCGGTGAGAATGAGAAGAATAAAGCTTATTAGGTATGCTTCAATACACTGAGACAGAACTAATAGAATATTAACCATGATAAAGCAGATTTCATTAGCAGCAAAAAATATTGTGAGATTCCCAAAAGTTCTCAAAGATTTTCTCAATCTAAGATATCTACTAAAGATCTTTACAGCAAGTATAGATATTCTAAATTTTGAGATTTAATGTAATGAAATAATCTCATTCTAGGCGTCAATTACTGAGGTATTGATATTATCAATCTAGAAGAGTTAGAATAGAACGATAACTCAAAAACCATGAACGAATTAAGTTTTCAGTTAAGTCATAACTTAAAGTATGCGCTACAGTTGGTGTGAGAAAGAATGATGTTCATGAAAGCTTACTGAATGATTTAATTAATGTGTATAGAAGATTAAAATGGTAGTTAGGCCAACGAAACGAAGGTTAAAATGATGTTTTAGACTTTTTGTGGACCTTATCATATAAATTATCATAAAAAGAAATGTAATTATATATTGAAGATGTATCAAACAATGTTATTGGAATTTTTTGACCTAAAGAAGTTAAATGAAACTCATAATTTGATAAAATAAGGATTCTTAGAGTGCAATTTTTTGCAAAAACGACAGTGCAAATCACGCACATCAGCAATAATTTTAATTTATTTATCTATGTAGTGTGTGCTCTGAACAATTTATTTAAAAAATTGTGACAATGCACCATGAATTTTTAATAGACAGAATTTATAGATTTCATGCGTAAACTTCACATAGAACAATACTGAAAAGTCTTTTCTAGCATTGATGGTCTATTTATTTGTAGGAATACGATGCCACAGAAATTTATGATATGCATTATTTTCGGTTTAATTTGCTCAACATTTAGCACTGCATTTAATGATACTCAACAATCTGATTTCAAACTTCTTCAAGTCATGAAACATTTCAGAACAAAACGAAAAGTTGGAGTAAAT